CGAAACCTTGGACGGTGCAGAGCGCGTGCACTCACTGCCCTGACTGCCATCGAATTAATAACGAGTCGGGATTTCCCGACGTACCGGAAAGCATCTGCCGGGACTCGAAAGCCCATCCGTAAAACGTAATTTCGAGTTTAAATTACGGAAACGTTTTACGCGCTAAGTACCACCAAAAGGCAACCTTCTCTTTTCGGATAAGCAAAACTGATTTAATTGTACGCTACGTCACACGAATATCGGCGTCGGTGTTATTTTATTTTTTTTTTTTTTTTCGTTTTTCATCGGAGCGAAACCAATTCTCGAAAGTACATCGATTGACAAGCTTTCAGGTCAAAAATCTAACTCCTACGTTGTAAAAGTACAAATCGATTCAGGTTATTATTATATTTTTTTTTTTTACAGTGAAACCCTTGAAAGTGGAAATCTTGGAGAAGGACAAAACTCTTTCGGCAGGGAAAAAATACGAGGTCGAATGTCGAAGCACAGGTTCGAAACCAGTGGCGAATTTGACTTGGTGGAAGACTTCGAAACAGCTTAAAAAGATAGCAAAAAATGTGAGTAAGAACTCTTTTCTAATGTACATAAATTTATTTAACCCGCTTGCTTCCTTTATGGCAAATTTACAAATCGTTAATAATTTTCTCAAACTTATCCTTTCAATCTTCTTATTTCAATGAATACCGTATTGGTTTCTTTTTCTTTGCTTCTATACAAAAAGAAGATGGAAATAGATAAAAAGTCAAATAATATCACAAATGCAAAATAGGTCGTAGTTGGTTATCGGTCACGTTTAATAGATCGGCTTAGCGAATATCGTAGCATCCAATGGAATTGCTCGTTGAAAAATCGATATCCAGTCGGTGGTATAACGTACGAGCAAATGAAAAATAATGGTTGAAAGCGCGAGTGCACAGAGACTCAACATGGTGACGTAAGCGAAAAATAACGGTAGTAGAAGCACTGGACCGCGAACCCTATGCGTTAGATTGCGGTACGCCACTCTAAAACATGACCTTTCCGTCAATTGATTCTCACCTTTTATCTCCGAAAAAAAACATAAAGATTACCGAAGCTTGAAATAATAAAAATGACATGTCCATTGTCATAATCATAAATGTATAGAAAATATATTGAAAACACGACATCCACGGAAAGAAAGTCACAAATTATTAAGTTACTTAAAAGCATTTGTGAAAATATTCATTTTATAATTCCATAATTCGATATTTTTTAACATAGTCGCAATTGTAGCGTTATTTAGTTATGAAAAATATATCACGCAATTAACAGTCCCTAATTACACATTAACATCGATTAAAAGCTACAACCAAACCGATCATTTCAAATGATTTTTCTTTTCACCACCAATCGTACGAAATTTTATATACATTTTCTAATTTGTGAAATACTCATTATTTCATCACAGATAATCGAATTTATGCTCGCATATATAACAACTCTTTAAATGAAATGTAAAAGATTTTTAAGCGCGATTTCGAAAAATTTTTGATTCGATATCTTAAAAAATTTGAAAAATAATCTTCCATTGTGTCAGGAGCATAAGAAATTCTCTACAGTAGTATCTGAAAAAGGGGGCGAGAACGACGAGATATCAGTCGTAAAATTCTTCTCAAACTGGGTCCATCTTCCGGAAGCAGCTTTGCTCGTGGCGAGCCGCTTAAGCTTAAACCATCGAGCCAAGTGAACTTTCCTTACTTCACAACGAGCCAAATTACTTTGAAAGTTAAACAAAGATAAGCACGCTCGCCTACTCGACAACTAGGAGGTCTGTCCTTCGAAAGTGGAATTCTATTGAGGTTATAGACACGCGCACATGAAGGCAATGTTCCAGGAGTTGGTAATGGTTGATGATATGAACTGTTCCTATAAAGCGAAGATATTTTATAAATGAGCACTAATAGATTGGATTAAGGAAGAGACCAGCTTGTACCTTGAAACGATATAATATCTCAGTTGGTTCTAAAGTTTCTATTTGCATATTTCATTTAGCTCGACTTATTTCAACACGCCACCCGTGCCTTTCCTACATCTCGTTACTTTCTAGCAAAGTATTTCTCTTAAAAGGGAGAAGGAAGGTTACTACTCGTCGTCGTCGTCGTCGTCGTCGTCGTCGTCGTCGTCGTCGTCGTCGTCGTCGCTGTCGTTGGGGGATGAAGCTCGCAGAATCGAGAGTGTAATGAGTACGACGACAAAAGGCTCCTCTGGCTTTTACACGATGATACTAAGAAGATTAGACGGGCGAGATATGATTTCAATAAAATTAATTCCTTTTTCGATATTGACGAAACGAACTAACGAATTTCTATCTAATACTTTTTTAATACATTATTCTTCACGTTCGTTCGATGTAAAATAAAAAAATAATTTTTATTTATCACAACCACTCTACTGCTCCAACGACACGTATTTCTTTGCATGAGTACTTTGCTCTTGCAAAAAAAAAAAAAAAAGAAAAAGAAAAACAAAATGCGTATTAATCGCATCGATGACTTTGAAAGATTTTTTACGATATGAATTCTTGGCATCTCGAGTTTATCTTAAGATCCCAACTAATTCGTCGAATCGTTCGATCGCAGAACTAATTATTCTCCTTCACGTCGAAACTTGACGATCATTGGGAGTTCATTGACCTAGAATTCGCATAGCTAACGAAAAAGCACGAAAGCGCTTTCGTGCCTGGAAGGGATTACGCTCGAGAGCTTATTATGTTGGGTGACCCGTTTGCCTAATTATACGTTCGCACTACTCGTATCATACGAATAGCACTAAAGAACTATATTTGGAAACGAAATAGTGTCTATTTTTGTAAGTACAATATTTAAAGTTCTTAGAAATACTCTTCGAAACGATAAATAAATATACATTGGGATTGAAATATCGTGTTAATGGCTAATAGTTTAACGATAGTTTTCGTAAACACACGTTTATTTTCTTTTTATAATATTTTGTTGTGAAAACTCTCTGAATGCGATTAAATACTCCGATATAATATAATAGATTCGTAAGTCGAATATCCCCAAGCATTACAAGATATTTCGTTCGAACTATGTAGATAATAGAACATAACTCACTGATAACAGTTAATATATCATAAGCAATACTTCGAAATGAATTCATATTTCATTTTATTTCAGTTTCTGGTGATAATACGATCGATACACTTATTATTAAAAATAGATACACTTTAAAGATAAATATTGATTTATTTCTCATATAAATGAATAATTCCTTATCAATGAAAGTCATAATCAAAAATCTTTTCTAAAAGAAAGTTACTTTTAAATCAAACTGTTGATTATATAAGCATAAAGCTTTCGAATTATCTTTTTACATGCTGATAGTAATAAGCACTCCTAGAGATCATATCTGTAATATTGTATCGTAATAATATTATATTGTAAAACTCGTATTAGCCGATGGTTTTTTTCGATAGAGCACATTCATATATTACATTTTAGCAACTTAAGTTGCTTTTCAATTCAATTGTATAAGTTTTTGAAGGAGACGCGAACTTGAAAGATCCAAGGATGATCGAAATATGTCGTTGATATGGAAATATCCATACCTTTAGTGTTTGGAAAAAGGCGGATTTAGAAAAACGCTGAACAACGTCGGACGACTGCTAGACTGTCTATGGAAAAAAGTCCTTATACTTTGACCGATCGTCTTTGCGAGGAACGGACGAGATTCCTTACAAATCTACATTCATAAAAATACATTCTCTAAAGTCTTTGATCTCTTCTCCCTTGGGTACAGGAATAGGATGAAAGAGGTTCTGACGTGGTATTTTGCATGACAGGACGAGATTCGATCGAAACCTTTCGAATCGCCTTTGCGAATCTCAAAACCGATATGGACACTCACATTGATGGACCGCAAATAAAAGATACGACAAAACTAGTGCTTTCTGATGATCAGGTGGATTCAATTTACGTCAAATCAAATTTTTTCGTTTACAAAGTTTGCCATACGTTTTTCACTTTCTCTATCCTTTCATCATCAAAATCATTTTTCTCATAAAGAATCATGCTCTCTTATAAATATCGCTTCTTACAAGATACTTCTTTTTTCTTTTTTATAAATTTAAAATAAATAATTTTAAAACAAGTTATAGTGAATAAAAATAAATAGATAACAAATTATAATAGGCAATTATCTTAAAAAGAAGGTCTTTCATATTATCAAGATTAAAAGTTTATTACTGTGAAGTCGATATGAAAAGAAGAAAGTTCAAAAAGAAAACTTGGCCTTGATATCCAATAAGAATGTTGAAGGTAACTATGTGTTTCGTTAAAAGACGACGAAAGACGAAACATTGTAAAGAATTTATACTCTAATTAGAAGAATTTCAATCTCTTTAACTTATGGTATAACATCGAAGGAAGAAACAATCAGGCAATGCATTTAAACGCCTTCGTAGTCATTGACGAGACAACGAAAGGAGAACAAAATACCGTAGTCTATATATCACGATCAAACGTCGTCGCTCAGTAAAATAATTTTAGCAACAATAAGGTGTTCATTATATAAACCTAAAGGCTTTCGTAGGAATCATGAATGGAAGACTGAAATTTTCGGAAACTCAATTATTAATTTACGAGTGAGCAAACGTGCCTACATACCTACTATGTATATATCTCAACGGGTCGTAGTTCAATTGAGATAGAGAAGGGCGATAATTGACGATAAATTTATCTCTATAATATAACGACGTTCGACTCTCGAACTATCACGTAAATAATAAAGCTTTTAATACGTCATTTTATTCCCTTCCTCCCATTATTTCGATTCACCTTCGACAAATCTGTGCAGCGCTCATTAAACATCCTGTGCGTTAAATAAAGGCCCGATATTCGGAGAAAATATGAGAGCTTAATGATTTATGAGAATTTCAATGTACCAAAACTGCCGGTGCTGCTCGGATTAACTGTTTCATGCGAACGACAGACAGTTTGATAATAATTTATCGAGCTTACCCGTAAAATTGCCATCGAACCTGGAAGCATCTGGACTGATAGCGAAACCATTAATAATCGTCGTTGTTCATATAATGAAGTTTCGAAGAAGCGTTATCTCAAAATGAACTGAATTCGCAGCTTTTCACTCTTGTCCATAATTTTTCCTGGCACTGCGGGAGTTCTAAAAAAATTATTCTCCCTGTAAAACATATTATTAAAATAATTCGAAATATTCACTGTAATTACGTATTAAAGTTAAATAAAAAAAAAAAAAGAAAAATATAATTCATTGACATTTAAAATAATAAAATAATGGACCTTTTCTAAAAAAAAAAAACATTCACATCCGTAATATTTATAATAAGAATATGCATTGATGATAAAAGACAAATAATTAAATGATGAAAAACGTAATAGCTGAACTTATACCAAAACATAAATCATTCGAAATATTCGAAGTGTTGAAAATATAATGGAGATTTAAAAAAAAAAAAAAAAAAAAAAAAAAAGAAAAATTCTTTCACTCGAAAAATTCAAATCCCCTTGTATATTTTAAATGACGATAACAAATCAAATACGAATGAAGGATCAAGAGACTGTTCACATGGCGCACAAATTACATTCGTCTGCTGCTTTACGTCGCTCTTCAAACCAAGTTGTCCGTGTTACCGGCCGACTTGTGTTATACTTATCTACGTGTTTCTGGTTGGCAAAGGAAAGCAGACTGTGTTTAATCAGACACGTTTTGCCAAGCGGCTTTAGGTTAAGGCGACACCGTCGACGCCCGAGGTGCCGGCACCTAATTCGTGAAATCCATTAGTCAGGACGAGAGGTCGTTCCCTATTGCCCTCCCTCTTCGAAGTGCTGACAACGAGAGTAATAGCGATGGCGTAGCGATAATAGGTGGCGCCTTGCCGAGAACGATATGTCTGCTCAACCGTGTCTATGTCCGCGCCTCCATTAAAAGATCCTTTTCCCTTCTTCGAAGACGCATCCACTCGAAAGAATTCCATGTAGAAGAACTTGCTACTACAAAAAAATTACATATATGAAAGCCTCTTTGAAGAGAAGAACATTTCTTGCAAGACTGACTCGAGATTGTTTTTCCATAATACCAACGAAAAGATTCGGCGACAACGGGAGGACGACATAGAACTTTCATCATAGACGCGAAAAGTGAAAGAAGAAAAGCAATGAACGGACGTGGATTCTCAAAAAAGAAAAAATTAGTCGAACAACCGCGCATATCCTTTCTCGTATTACTTTTTCTACAGAATGAACCTGAGTCATTGTAAGAAAAGCACGACCTGTTATATACAATACGGTCTGTCTGAAGCCAACCCTCTAATTCCAGACGGGATATTTTGGACTTTTTTCTTCTTTTTTTTTTTTTTTTTTTATTTATTTTTTTGGTAAATGCTGACAACGTAGTGATTTTAGTAGGGAAAAAAATGTAAGAAGAAAAGAGAGATCGAGGGAAAAGGGAGAACAGGAAGAGGGATAGAGAGAGAGAGAGAGAGAAAAAAAAAGAGAGAAGGAGAAGACGAAGTAGAGAACGAAATGGAAGCCAAAGAAAAGGCAAAAGGAAAACTTGCGGAAGCAGGAAATCTCTAAGCGAAGCTTTCCTTTTTTTCTTTTTTTTTTTCTTTTTCTTTTTTTCTTTTTCTTCCTTCTTTGGCTCTATGTATCTGGAAATCCTCCGAAGAGTAAAATGTGCATGCGGATTTATCTCTCCAAGCCGATCCTCGAATAATACCGCGCAGCACACAGCTGGTACCATTCTGACGTATATATCGATCATTATCGCAATTGTACAAATAATTAACAATAATTATTCCGTACGTGCCTCTAATACATTGCCGTTTCACTGTGATATTGAAAAGAGTGATCGATAAAAGGAAATACATAGTCATAAATAATAAGCTCATAAAAAAAGAAATGACTGTTCGGACATCAACACGAATCGTCTGTTATACATAAACAAAAAATGTATCATCATGTCTCGTAGAGCAAATATTTAAAGATAATATCCTAAATCGAACGTGTCAATATCGAATACATTCGGATCACGAATAATTTCGAAAATTGATTTCTTTCTTTCTTTCTCTCTTTAAATAAATAAAACAAAAATAAAAAAGAAATTAATTTCAGTCCTTCGAAATGCAGAGTCACGCATTATAAAGAGAAAAAAGCGCGATAAAAATTGTGTCTGGCAACGGTTCGCATTTCTCGTTCCCGGTAAAGTTCCATATACCTTGCTACTATCTACGTCTCTTTCAACTTGCAAGCGAGATCTCTCGTAATTCACATCGGACGGCAGAATCTTCCTCTTTATACTTGTATACTCGTATATGTGCATTTACATGCATATACATGTACATATAATGTGCGTATACGTATAATATCGCATACACGATATGCTTTTAATATCAAGGCCAATTCCATCTCGCTTCGCGTGATTTTAATATCGAAGAATTCGACCGACATCGAATGAGATGCTTTCTCTTGCCCCATCCTTAATTCTGGAAAATAAATTGAATTATGGAAAATTATATATTCTCTTCTTTTTCTATAAAATATTTTACATATCAATTCGTAATTATTCATTATAATAAAAATCGATTATTCAACAAATGTATTATACATATCTGACATAAAATCACAAGCTTTTTTCGTCTATTATAATTTTTAAATAAAATACCGAACCTTGCGAGTAATCATTCATCGTTTATTCGCCGTAAAGCGATAAAATGAAATAAGATGAATTTAGTATTATGCAGTTTTTTCTTCAGCTCAATGACAATTGAAATTTTATGGAAATTGTAACGATCGATATTGAAACAGAGACAGAGACAGAGACGAAGAGAGAGAGAGAGAGAGAGAGAGAGAGAGAATGGAAAGGGGAGTAGAGTTGACCGTACAAATAGACGATATCGCGTTAATTCCAACGTGGCCACGTTTACCTATGGAATTCAGTACGAACGGCCATTTTGCATATCATCAATTTATAAACTCGTAATAAGAGATGGACAACAGTATGCAATTCATCGAACGACCAACAAATTTGATCCATGTGGCATCAAATCTCATTGCTATGGCTCTGATAAAATTTAATACCAATACAGAAAAAGATACAAGAGTAACATAAGAAAAAGGTGTTTCTCTGTTAAATTTTTCGTTATTCGATTTACAGCTTGATCCGATTGAAAATGATGAAGTTTCGCTTTTCTTATATCATCTTGAATATCTTATACACCATCCATTATATCACTGGGTTATTTATCTGTTAATTTTCTTTTCGAATTAACTATTATGGACTTGAATATGTTTCATTCGATAATAGAGGATAGATTAGAAATTCTTAGATGATTTTAAAAATCAATTACATTTTTTTTCAAGACGTTTAGTGTAATTTTATTTTTCAAATTATAAAATTACAAGACTAACTACATGCTCTTATCGATCGACATATCTCTATCTCATTATACTTGATCATGTAATAATAAAAAATGTTTAAGTAATTTTATTTATCAAAATGGCATTATATCGATAAAAGGAAAATTGAAATTAATGAGACATAAATAGGTGTAGTATGTTACATGAAAGTTACGATCTATCGTAAAGGAATAAAACTATAGCAATTGATATGACATATAGCGATTAAAAACTTTTCATTTGATTAAATTCTTTTTTAATGTTCAACAAAAAATGTTTAGTTTCAGGATGGAAGTACGAGCGTAAGCGTGCTCCAATGGATACCAAACATCGACGATGACGGCAAGTTTCTCGCGTGTCGTGCAGAGAATCCAAAGTTACCAGAAGCAGCCATAGAGGATCGATGGAAACTGAAAGTGCACTGTGAGTAAGGTCTTCCATTCGATCCTCCTGAACGATGGGGAAAACTAAAATGGAAAAAGAGAAGGGTGAAGAATATCGCGGTTTCGATACTTTTTCGAAGCGATCCTCTATAACGAAAAGAATAAATTCGATTATTCCGATAAATTCTTCGAAGCTAGTAAGGACAAAAGAGGAGAGACGTATCAAACGGGATTGGAATTTCATTCGAAAGCAAGCGTATTCTACAATACGATCCTCCTCAAACAAGGATCCTCGTAATTCTCAGTCGTCTTTAAAGGAAAATCATTTTGATACGTTAGGAAACGTTCTTCTCCCTCGTCCCAAACAAAAGAAAAGTTTAACGCTTCCTATTCAAACGGATCGACCGAGTTATTACATTGATTTTAAAGGAACCTAAAAGATTTAACTGATTGCTCAAAAAGCTAATCGAGAAGAAAGGTTTGAAAAATCTCCTTATCTCGATTCAAAATTGCACCAACATCGACTTAGCGGACAAAAATCGTATCCATGCTATAAATATTGATAAGAAAGTACAAAGTTATATCGCATAATATCAATCTCCCGATATTCTGATAACATAATTGAATGGACGAATATCGCGATTTGTCATATTCGTAGAAAGATCGAAACGGATATAATAGACCGCACCCCTTCAAATTTGGGAACCTCACGCGAAATTATGTACTCCTTATCCATTTACATCTAATTTATCGTGAAGAAGATTTAGGTATAGGAGATCGCACAGCGGAAACGTCTGCTTGTTTCCGGCAGATACGAGCTATCGTTATCCGTTTATTTACGACAATGTCCGATCGGCCACTCGATGTGTCCTGTATTATCCCTCCGTTCCCATGTATATGCGAACATTTGGCATTAACTCGCTAGGTAATCGCTATGGCATCACGCGCACATTCTCGTAGAAATCTCGATGTTAGTACCCGATTTCTCCGCTAACTATAGTGCCAGCCAATTCACTCTCTTCTTGTTTGTCTATCTGTTTCTCTCTACTCTGCCCCCCCCTCTCGCTCCCTCTCTCTCTCTCTCTCTCTCTCTCTCTCTCTCTCTCTCTCTCTATCTCTTATTCTATCTGTTTCGAAATACATGCTCTCGCATATTAACCGATTTATTTTTAATCCATTTGCATGATAACTATTCAAAAAATCTAATAAAAATATTCCAACACTTTGTTACGAAAATATAAATTTTCTCATAACACTTAATTTTAGTATTTTCCATGTTATGCATACATTTAAAGCATTCCGATTTTTTTGAATAACGTTGTATAATAATTTGCGAAATAACATCTCCTCATATTATAAATCATTAAAAATGTATGTTTTT